TGCTTTTTCACTAATATATACTATAGACATTTCTGTGTGTGTGTGGGAAGTGTGTTGTTCACAATGTGTTCCCACTAAAAAAAGAAGAAAAAACATTTTCTTTGAATTAACAAAAATTGTGGCCCACGACATAAAAATGAGTTTGTCATCCCTACTCTAACCTGATTTGTTATAATTTTATATTTGGCAATTAGACAAAGTCATTTTTGCTTTATAGATTTTTTTTGTCATAGCAAATCTCATTTCTTAACACCAAAAGTACCAGTCACTATGGGAAAACAGTACTTTATTGTTTAATAATGCACTGGGTGTTAAAGTGTCCACCCCCTGCCTCTCGACCCACCTTTGTGATAAGGAAACACTTCCAGTGTCAGTTCATGTCTTTTTCTGGACCAGGGGCGGATCTACTGTGATTGCACTGGGTGGCATTGAAATGGCTTAAGTTTTGTTAGTAGCAACCAACAGTGCAGTTTTCTGACATTTTGTTTAAATTTATGAATGCAACAATTGTATATCTAATTGACCACCTCATGTTGTGCAGCTTTCTGGATTTTATACTTATTGGGCTACATGTTTATTTATTATACAGGGTGGGCCATTTATATGGATATACCGTAATAACATGGGAATGGTTGGTGATATTAAAGTCCTGTTTGTGGCACATTAGTATATGTGAGGGGGCAAACTCCTCAAGATGGGTGGTGACCATGGTGGCCATTTAGAAGTCGGCCATCTTGGATACAACTTTTGTTTTTCCAATAGGAAGAGGGTCATGTGAAACATCAAACGTATTGTTAATGTCACAAGAAAAACAATGGTGTGCTTGGTTTCAACCTAACTTTATTCTTTCATGAGTTATTTACAAGTTTCTCTTTGTTCACTGCCATTGACATGTCGAAGAGGTTAACACGTGAGGAGCGGATCGAAATCGTGTTGATATCTGGTGAACGCAGTAACTGGGTCATTGCAGCAGATTTCAATGCAAGACACCCTACGAGACCACCCATCTCCCATGCTACAGTCAGCAAACTGCTTGCTAAGTTCCGTGAAACTGGTTCAGTGTTGGATTTGCCAAAATGTGGACGCTAGAAAACTGTCACTAATGAAGAAACATCAGTGGCTGTCCTAGCTTCATTCAGCAAGAGCTCACAGCGTAGCACTCGCTGCATGTCACTGGAGAGTGGCATTAGTCGAACATCCCTTTAGCGGATATTAGCTACTCACAAATGGCACCCTTACAAACTCCAGCTACTGCAGCATCTCAACGAGGATGACCCAGATCGGCACACAGACTTTGCAGAATGGGCAAAACAAAAACTGGAACAGGGCCCTCAGTCCATGCAGAAGATTTTGTTCAGTCATGAGGCAAACTTTTATGTGAATGGTGAAGTTAACAAACAAAACCACCACTATTGGTCTGACACTAACCCACATTGGATGGATCCCTCCAAGACTGTTGGAACAACAAAACTGATGGTTTGGTGTGGTATATGGGATACAATGATAGTGGGTCCATTCTTCATCAATGGAAACCTCAAGGCCACTGGATATTTGAAATTGCTACATGATGATGTGTTTCCCTCTTTATGCACTGAAGCTGGCACGTTCCCTGAGTTTTTCCAGCAAGATCGTGCACCATCACATTATGGGTGCCAGGTCCGAGCATTCCTAGATGAACAGTTTCCTGGAAAGTGGATTGGTGGTCATGGGACAGTTGAATGTGTTGCATTGACAATCCAACACAATGGGCAGCACATTGAACACAAGTGGTCAGAAACTTGTAAATAACTCATGAAAAAATAAAGTTACGTTGAAACCAAGTACACCATTGTTTTTCTTGTGACATTACCAATACGTTTGATGTTTCACATTTCCCTCTTCCTATTGAAAAAAACAAAAGTTGTATCCAAGATGGCCGACTTCTAAATGGCCACCATGGTCACCACCCATCTTGAGGAGTTTGCCCCCTCACATATACTAATGTGCCACAAACAGAACTTTAATATCACCAACCATTCCCATGTTATTATGGTGTATGCATATAAATGGCCCACCCTGTATAGGCTATACAGTACTTCAAAATAAAATTCACTTTTTTTTAATGTAACTAAAATGTTTTATTTGGGCCAAAGCCAAAAAGAAAGTTCGAGAGGATGTTAATATGAAACGTGTGTATACTTGCTGCATTTGATGTATTTTAACCACATATAATTCACATTACAGAAAGTAACACCTGTATTCGTGTAAAGAAATGGCTTTGATATTGCCACTACGTGTAATCTCCATGCCACCCTAAGAAAATGTGTCTAGATGCTCCTCTGTTTAGCACTTGTAATTCAGTTAAAAAAATGATAAGTTGTTTGATATGCTGCTATAATAATAAGAAGAAGAAGAAGGAGAAGAATTCTTCTTATTGCTATTTTCATTCCTATTATTATTATTATGAATTTTGGTTAAAACGATTTTTGTTTTTTTTTTGCATTGGTGCCCATGATGACAGTGATGTTGTGTAAAACTATAATATGTGTTCAAGGTTAACTTGGCAATAATGTAATATCATGGGTGGTGATGGGATGATAGCTCTCATTAAACTTTAAAACTTTAGAATCTTCTGTTCAAGTCTTTTCAACCTCGTATAATTTTAGTTGTTTAGTAATTTACACCGACTGTTATCTCACATCATATGACATCTAGAAATCAAAGGTCACTTTAGCCTTCTCGCCACTGTTTTACGACCCGTCTAGTTTCCAGGACACCTTAAAAGTGTAAAGAACCATAATCTTTAGTTATATAGCCCTTAGTTTAAAAATAACTATCAAATCTATCTCTAAATAAGGTACAACCATAGAAAAATACACAATTTTCTACAAAAATATAAGAATATTGGGTCAACTTTTTCCAAGAAGTCTTTTTTCTCTGCTTCACTTTGTTTGGTTTTAACTAACAAGCAATGAGGAAGAGCAAAGGGTAATTTTAATATTGTTTTTGATGATCCAATAAGATGCTAACCAGAAGTCAAAATTTTTAAATTGTAACTCGAAGCTATAATTTAGCTCTGCCAGGTAATTTTCTTTCTTTTTTCAGTAGTAAAAACAACCACACGTTTTCTTTTGCTAGACTCACAACTTTAAAAAAAAGTAAGAAAACTTAAAAAAAATAACAGATTGGCTCTTTTGAAGACCAAGAAGAACATTTCTCTCTGCACTCTCTTGGAATTCATAGGTCAATATTTTGGGTCACAATCTCAAAAATGTGAGTTATTACATTTTGACTAAGCTCTACCTGGAAATGTATTTATTTCAGTGTTGGAAAGAAGCTTCCATACTTTCACATGTTAGGATTGCATTTCAACAGTGAAAAATGGTCACTACAATTATAAGTACAAGCAAAAAAATACATTTGAATTTTTAAAATCTATTACACTATTATAGCACCTGATTTAACCATAAAAGTGATTTATCTTCACTGTTTATGGGATTAGTTTTGATATATGATGTAAATTAGGCATAACCATAGAAAATAAAAGCTTTGGGGCCACTTTTCATGAAAGTCTTGTTTCTCTTCTTCACTTTGTTTGGTTTTAACTGCCAATCGATCCAGATGGTTCACAGTAATTTTAATGTTGTTTTTGCACAACCTAACAGAATCCTTTTTTTCTGCACTTCATAGAGCTCATATGGTAAAGTAATAGCGTGTGAACTGTATGTTTGTTCAAGGTTTGGAGGCCTATCTCCACCCACCACCACTTCCCCTGCCAGTGGCGGACTCCCTCAGGTGTCGGTGCGTTGGTGGTTCTTTGTGTCTGGGGGTGGGCGTCCGGGTACACACCGGCTCACTCCTTGGCGGCCGCTTATCGGGGCCTGGAGCCTGGGGCTCGCTCGGGCCACTTCGGAGGTGGGGTGCCCCCGGCCTCTCGGCCTGGGGCTCGGTCACTCAGGCACAGCTGGCTGCCGGCGGAGCTCACGGGCGCGTCACTGCAACTCCCCCTGGCTTCTGCTCCGCGGCTGCTGAGTGAGCCCTCATCTGGGACTCTCCTCAGCTCTTACTGGGACAGTGGCGCGGCTGCCCCTCTGTTGGTCTTCCTTGGTCTCTTGTGTTCTGGGGGCCTCTGGATGTCTGGAGTTTTGATCTCCTCCATACCTGCTTCATACCCTGGAGGACGGGGCTGTGGCTCCCCACACTCCCTAGCAGATCGTTACATGGAGAAACCTTTGGAATGCAAGCATGCTGATCCACACAGGTATGCACACAGGTGTACACACGGGTATTCACAGACGCGGACTACAGCTTTCTTGGCTGCTGCCTCAAAGCACATTGTGCGCTGTCTATCTTGCGTGCTGCACAATATCGTTTATTATTTAGTATCTACTGATATCTACTGCTAGCTAGTTTATTGTGATGGTGCTGTTTTTTTTATTATGTTGCTCTTTGTTGTTTGCTTTCTCTTCTGTTTTTTTTCTCCATACAGGTGACCCAGGTGTTTTGTTTTTTTTTGTTTGTTTTTTTTTCTTCCCCCCCTTCTCACCGTCTCTTCTCCCCTTTGGTTTTCTTTCTCTCCCTCTCTTTCTTTCATTCTTTCTCCCTGTCCTATCCCCCAGTCATGTCTGTCCCGTTTGTAGCAACTGAAAATAAAATAAATTCATAATTATAATAAAGGTCAATCAAATGGACCAATATGGCAAGGCCATGATGATCCACTTGGTAAAATAAATCCGCTTGGCATCTTTCTTGGCCTTAAGACAACAATTCTGATGGCTAAAGATCCAAACGGGACACACACACACAAAAAAAGAATTGTATGTTTGTGATCAGCACCACGCTGGTCTGGACTGGCCTTTAAAATATCCACTAGATAACCAAGCTGGCAAAAAAAGTAGTGGAAAATTGATAGGTGGACGAAAGGCTTGAAAAGTGGGCTTCCTGGCCTGGGCGTGACCTGCGCTTTGCACACTGCCTAAATGAGGAGTGGCTACTCATTAAAACCGCCAGTGGAGGAGTATTATCAGTTTTAAACCCAAAGATTTAGAGAACTACAGACGTGGCCACTTCTAACCTTCACTGACTTTTTTTCCTGTGGTAAAGTTGCTTTTAATTTTTCTAATGGCTCAAAAATTCATCCTCCTGTTTGTCCTTTGGCTTGTTGTAGCCATTTTCAGTAAGTAGCCTGATTTTATTGTATCAACTTTAAAATCCTCTTTTTTTTCAGTTTAAGAGTGATGATGATGATAGAGTAACAGGGGATGTTAACAAATTAACACATCAGAAGTGAAATATTAATTTTAATATAGTAGTCTTTTTCTATTTAATTAAGCTTATATTTTAATTCAATCTAAACTGTTATCCACTGGCGGGGTTTTTATAGGGTTTACATAATTAGTAGATTTTTTTTAAGACTTTGAGGTCATGCCTGAGCCAAGATTACGGCTGTAACAGCAAAATGGAGAGCTACCCATGACGTAAGAGTACCTGGATAAATGTCTTCTAATCAAAATATCTCAAATTAGTTTGAATATGAGAATATTATTTTCATGATTAACAGTTACTAGTTCCTTTCCCCTTTTGTTTTGCTTCCATACAAATTCTATACACTTGTTCAGGACTCATATGTTTGCAATAATTGTGTAACTTGAACAACTTTCTTTTGCAACCATTGTGTATCTGGGCTGGTTTAGCACATATATAAGCAAATTTGACCAGTGTGTTCATGTCAACAGTCTGACATTAATTGCCATTTTATTATTTTATGACCCTGTTGTTATACCACATCCTTCTGGCAAGGCCACAATCAAGGAAGTCTCTTTGTTCACTTCAGATCCTGCAAACTGTTTAATGCTTTACATGTCTGAATTCTAAATGATGGTTGAGTGAACTTTATGTTTTCCATGCAGAGTCTGTGTCACTGCTGGTGCTCTCTTACTGAGACTGAGAAATGGCCCTACTTAGCTCTTTGTTTGATGTCTTGCATCATTAAACATAGACTATATGATCCTGCTTTAATAACTTTGATATAATTTTTTTTCTCTGGCTTGTTTCCTGGGTATCACATTTCAAAGTTGTGAACAAAGGTTATCATATACTAACTACTGCGTTTTAACACAACTCTTAGCCTCTTCAACAAGAGCAGAAGATACTGAAATTTTAGCTTCAGAAGACAATGCAACTACTGCAACACCAACAACTTTATTTAAAGGTAATTTGATACCTCTGGATCCAAATGTTCACATGTTATATTGCTCAAACACACACATTTGTATCACTGTGTGTGCTCGTGTGTGTGTGTGTGTGTGTGTGTGTGCTGTGTGATGCTGTGTGTGCTACCTCGCATCTTAACACAACTCTTAGCAACTGTCAGTACCGCAACAAGCATATTCTAACTAGCTATCAGACAGACGAATCAACTACTGCCACACACCAACGACCTTTATGTTAAAGCGTAATTTGTCCTCTGACTCCAATGTTCACATGTTATATTGCTCACAACACACACTTTGTCACCTCAGTCGTGTGTGTGTGTGTGTGTGTGTGTGTGTGTCTTGCTGTGTGGTGTGTGTGTTGTGCCGTGTGTTTTTGTCAGTGTGTGTGTGTGTCGATGTACTCGCACTTAACACAACTCTTAGCAACTTCAGTTAACCGCAACAAGCAATTCAATATCAGCTCAGACGACAATGCAACTACGTGCAACACCAACTGATTTATTTCAAAGGTCATTTGATACCTCTCGGCATCCAAATGTCTCACCATTGCTTTATATTGCTCAAACAACACATTTTTTGTGTTGTGTGTGTGTGGTTGTGTGTGCATGTGTGCTGTGTGTGTGTGTGTGTGATCGCACTCTTTAACACAACTCTTAGCAACTTCAGTAACCGCAACAAGCGATTCAACTACTGCAGCCAGAGATTCAACTACTCAGAAGACAATGCAACTACTGCAACACCAACGACTTTATTTAAAGGTAATTTGATACCTCTGGATCCAAATGTTCACATGTTATATTGCTCAAACACACACATTTGTATCAGTGTGTGTGTGTGTGTGTGTGTGTGTGTGTGTGTGTGTGTGTGTGTGTGTGTGTGTGTGTGTGTACTCGCACTTAACACAACTCTTAGCAACTTCAGTAACCGCAACACGCGATTCAACTACTGCAGCAACAGACGATTCAACTACTGCAGCAAAAACAACTCCATTTAAAGGTAATTCGATGCTCTAGATTCAAATGTTCACAGGTTATACTATTCACACAGTGTTTCAAATTTTGTGTGTGTGTGTGTGTGTGTGCACACACCTGTTTTTTTTTTCTCACTTTAAAGATCCCTGCAACCCAAATCCCTGTGGCACCGGAAGCACCTGTGAGGTCCGTTATAACGACACATATGTATGTTTGTGCCTCGCTGGTGATTCCTACAACAATGTTTCAAAGAGTTGTGAACGCTGTAAGTATTTGTTTGTGTGCCGCTATGAAGATTTTACTTTATTTAACAGTGACATGAATGAAGATTATATAGCAGCATATAACACTACGTGGTCTGGAGGAAGATTAGTAGATCACTGAAGGACAGGTCATTCAAAACAATATGTACCTCTTGAACTAGCTATCTCCCAATCAGTTTAGTCGGACATAAACAGTAAGTGAGTAATGTTGACTGTTAGCCTGGCTTAGCCAACTTAATGCAATCTGTGAAATACATTTTAATATTAACATTTTAGATTTGGTTTACTTTATCCATGCAAAAATAATGTGTAAGAATGACAAATTGGATTTTGTTTTTTTGTTTTTTTTCTGGGGTTTATGTCTGGGACTAACCCAGCTAGCCTCCTGTCTTAACCTTAGTTAAGTACCTGCTAGTTGTAGCTTGATATTTAACAGACAGACACTGTATGAGACTGGCATCAATCTCCCTCCTTTCAGCAAGAAAATGAGAGATATAAAATATAATTTTATTAGATTTTCGCTTTCTTCTGATATTTTCTTGTTTTCAGCCAAAGTCTTCCCTGGAAATCTTCAAGTGAAAAAACCATTTAAAGATGAAATGACAGACACCACATCAAAGGAATTTATAGAAACTGCTAATGAAATCATTGCTGAGGTAAGTAATTAGGTAGTATTCTCTATCAATAAATGTGTCTTATATGGACTTTTTTGAAAATATACTTGACATTACAAGTTATACTAAAAACAATTTCATCAGTTATTTAATCAATCTTAATAGTCATACTGAGCAAAACATATTTTCTTTTGAAAACACAGCTGGATGAAGTTTATAACGAGATGAACGGTTACTCCAAATCTATAGTGCTGAAACTCCTGTAAGTCTCAGACTGACAACAGCTTTTACTATAAAATCTTTCAACCTGTTTCACATCAATGTACATTAACATGTTATTATACTGCACAAATAAATGATGCAATCATCACTAAATGTGATTTCTGTCTTTACAGTCCAAGAAGCACTCGTGTGTCAGGGGCAAGCTCAGAGGTCATTGCATCAGTACAGATCATCTTCGAGGCCAGTTCTGAAATCACAGATGATCAAGTTGTAAAAACATTAACAGAGTGTAAGGACTGTAGCGTGATTGACAACACATTTAACAGTAAGTTTGTTACCTGTATTCTAGAACTGTCACGGTTCTGAATCATTTTGACCCAGCTTTTTCTGTTTCTTATATTTTGGTGTTTTTCTAGATTATGTTCATTATATTTATGTTCTGATTCTTGAGTTGTGCTGGTCTGATTTTGTATTACGGGTTATATTTTCTGTCAAGTCCTTGTCTTAGTAAATTGTTTCTTGTTTCCTGTTTCATGTTCATGTCTGATGTCAGTGTGTTCAGTTTTACTTCTCCCCTGTCTTGTTAGCCTAATTTCTCCCAGCTGTGTCCCCCTCCTGTTTCCCATTCCCTGATTACTCCCCTGTGTATATAATCCCTGTGTTTGCCTTTGCTCTCTCGCGTGTTGTACCCTCAACATGCTGTGTGTTTGTCATGGTCAGTCCTCTAGTGCCTCTGTTGTGAGTCTTGGTTTTGTTTTGCTTTTTTGAGTTTTACTTTATGAGGAACTTTTGCCAGCAATAAAGCTGCGTTTTGAGTTCCAGTCCCGTTTTGAGAGTCCTGCATTTTGGGTCCTTTTTCCTGCCTGCCTGCCACACAACACAGCCATGACAAGCACATTGTTTTATGTCGATATGTATCTAGAATAAAACTCACAGTAGAAATAGATTTGTTTTCAGAAAGAATATAATTGACAAGATGTGTTTCAGAATCCTTTGTACTAAATCTACACTTCTGTTTAAATGAAACTATTTCCACCATCTGTCAAAAATTATTTAGTTGTAATAAAAATATAATGGATGTCACAATCAGGGCAGCTGCTGCCATTGCATGTATTGTAATCTTTATTTATAATTCGGTGATTTATGATGTTCTGATGATCATGATATTTTGAAGATGAAGTCATGCTGTTAATTTCAGTCCAGGGTTCATTTCATGGCATATTAGTGATTCATTTATTTTACTGTTGTACATGTTGCGAAACATGTCCTTGAGTACTGAGGCTCTTTTTCTCTCCGTCATTTAAAGTTACGAACCTGTGTGATGACGCTCCCTGTGATGAACACTCCACAAACTGCAAATCAGGCGATGGAGCTTTCAGCTGTATTTGTAACAAAGGCTACATGCAAACAGACTACAGTAATAGAATGTGCATTGGTAAGACAATTTCCTGAGCAAAGTAAGTGGTGTGTGTGTCTGTGTGTGTCTTATGTAAGCAAACGACAAAGTGTCTCAATATTTCTTTTTTTACAGCTTGTCCCTTTGGGAAAGAATTGAAGGATAATGAGTGCGTGACGTAAGTACTCCTTCCCCTCCTGTTTGTCCTCTGTTGATGTAAGGTTGCTTTTAAATATAAATCTTAAAATCAACCTTCTTCTTGTCTTGCAGATGCTCGTTTGGTTATTCTGGTTTTAACTGCTCAGAAAGTGAGTATACTGCATGTTTTTAAAGTGAAAGCAGAAGCATGGTTACTTAATGACAGCTATTTAAAGAAAAAACTCACAAGATAAAATATAACACATGATACAATAGGTAGAAAGGTTATTCAAAAGCTGGAAAATGTGATAAAAGTTTATGTCCTCTTCATTGTGTTTTATTAGACTGGCAGCTCATTCTGGTAATTGTGGGCTCTGTGCTTGGAGGACTGCTGCTCATAGCCATCATCCTTCTACCAGTAGTAGCTACCCAGTAAGTTTCTTACTAATTCATTCATCCACTTTTGTGTCATTCTAACAGTTATAAATGTGAGAAAATGTTTTTCTCACTTTGATTTAGGCTTTATTGTAGATGCAAATGCATTTAAAATCAAGAGAATTTGTTCATGTCTGACAGAGTCAATAGTGAATTACAATATTTTTTACTGCTGTGATTTCAGAAAATCAAACAAAATCTCGAAGAAGAGCAAAAGTGCAGAAATGGAAAAACCCTACACTAACTTGAGTTCTGCCGCACAACCAGTGGCTAGCAATAAGTTTGGCCACAGCCAGGGAGTCTCATTTAATGGGTCAGCCAATGGCAATTCAGGTTTTCAGAATGGTGGGGTACCCATGTTCCCACGAGCTGGCAACCCCACCAACAGCATGGACAACAGGACCAACCTGGAGATGAAACCAAGCAACAGCCGACAAAACTTTGGACATATGAACAGTGGCTCAGAATATTCCTCTGTGTGTATAAAGAAGTGATATGTTCATCAGATTTTTTGTTTTTTTTAGTGTTTGCTGTTAAATTTACTCTCATTCTTTTTCCTCTGTAGCGGCTATATGATGAACCAGAGGACATACGCCCATACGCTCAGACTCAACCTCGGAACAACCCGTATGCCGAGAATCAGCCCAGGATCAACCCGTATATTCAGAACCAAGGCCACAGCAACCCGCACTACACACACGATGATGGAAGACGCTACTATTAGTACAACATCAGAAAGGCTCACTATACAATGATAGGTTTATGTTTTTAAATTTGTTTTATAATTCCTGTATGTAATGAATCGTATTGAATCTTATGTGACTGACTACAGTACAAGCTGTCATAAACCAATCTTGTCTGATCGTGATTACTTTATTTCAAGTTGGAGACATGATTTCGAGGATTGGTCTCATTTTTTATCGGTTTTGGTTATATGAATTATGAGTTATTAAAGAGTTGTCTATTTTAAATTGAAAAACCTGGACACTCATGTCCAAATATATTGCGATAATGAGGTGCTGCTTATGATTGTTCCTTTGTCTGATAAATGCTTCATTCGTCTGTGAATTCACAAATTTTTTTCATGTAAATATGTTAAATTTTTGTGATGAACTGAAATTTGATGTTTAATTCAGTTTTTGTGAATGAGAGGAGTTTATTCTAATAAAATTATAAGAACCTGTGTCTAGTATATATTAGCATCAAGCGGTGAGGTTGCACATGTGTGTGTGTGTCTAGAAAAAGGAAACTCAAAGATGTAGCCTTATGTCAAACCCAAATACTCAAATAATCAAGGAGCTAAACAGAGAATATAACTAAAGACTACTAAAGAACCAAGACATAACCCAAAATACAGAAATATCACAAGGAAACACAAAATGCTGGGTCAGAAGGACCCAGAACCCTGACAATGCACGGCACATGTACCAATGAGGAAACCACATGACTTCCTCATGAAACTTCAGACTGGTAACTTAGAAGCACATCATTTGTGTTGCAATAATTCAGAACCTGATGTTTCTACAGCTGGTAAATTTAGTTGATTGGACATGATTTGGAAAGGCACATATATAATGTCACAGAGTTAACAATGCAGATCAGAGCACAAACCAAGCCATGGTCCAAGGAAATGTCTGCAGACCTCTGAGACAGAATTTTATTGAGGCAGAGATTTGGGGAAGGATACAGAAAAAACTGTAGCACTGAAGGTCTATATATATATATATATATATACACATACATCTATATATATATACACACATATATATATATACACATACATATATATATATTT